TATTAAAATTTAATATCATTATAATGAAATTTATTTTTTTTATTAATTTGTATTTGTAATATTTTTAATTAATATAAATTAAATATGCAATAGTATAATCTTATGAAATTTAGTTTTTAGATTTTTAATTAGTAGCTGGGACTTTTTTTTCGCGGGACCCAACTGACCTAGCCCCATAATTTTATATTACGTCAATTAAGATTGCATATAGCACCTATACGAACCGGCCCTGGTAGTCCCGTAGGCCCTTTTGGACCTTCACGACCCATTGGACCATCCTGACCTGGTTCACCTATAACAAAAAAATCATTATTTTATAGTTAAACATTTTATAAATAAATTTTGTTTTATTAGATATGATTTTAAAGACACTTTAATTATCCAAGATCTATCTTTTTTAGTTGAAAACAGTATAATATTCTACAATATTTAATAAACATAAATTTAAAAGAGATGAATTATGTTAAATTTATCCTATGGACTATTTGGCACTATTAGACTATAAAAATAACATAATTATTTTATGGTTTAAATATTAGTGAATTATTAAATAAAAAGATATTATTTTAAGCATTTGTTTTTCATTTTTAATAATCAATAAAAATAATCTGTGTTTAGGATAGATATAATTTTTTTTTTTAAATAAATCGTATACCTTTGTTGCCTGGTAGTCCTCCCGGACCGATCTCCCCTCGAGGACCTATGGGTCCCTCTTTCCCAGGTGGACAATAGTCTCTAGTAGATGAGCAGAAACCCTGAAGAGCAGCTACCTATAGATTTTTACCGTTTAGATATTAGTTTAATATTTATTATATTAACCATAAGCACTGTATATTTTACGTATTGGATGTGCGCTATGCACTCTCTCTGTCTCTTACTGGTATCCTCGAGTAGGCGTTGAGCCAATACCATTCCTCTTTGGTGCCGTTTGGTGGTTCTCCCTTAGCGTTGGTTTCTTTTTCAATAATAGGTCGGAAATTCGGATTGATGAATTCCACTTTTTCTCCGCCACTTTCGGTCTTTGAAGATACCGAGTTCTCAGCGATATCCACATTCCGGCGAGGCCGATGGTTCGCCGCTGCCTCCAGTGCCGAACACTTGATGTCCACTTCATGTATGTACTCGTACAGTCCATACAACAGTACGTATTGGATCGTTATGACCGCGACTAAGCACACATTCGGGAAGTACTGCATGATTGAACGCACAATTTTAGGTCAACAGCATAGACTCAGTTAACATTATAAGTATTTAAAGAATAACGAGGTCCCCCCAATTCGGTGAAACAGTATTCGGCACGCCCGAACGCACACAGTGACTTAATTAGACACTTCAATATAGTAATCTCCCCCATATGCTACACTGCAATCTGTAGCAGTCAACGATCCCGTTTTAATCAGACTCAATTAACGGTATGCTCTTTTAATTGAAACTAATTACTATAAGAATCTATGAATGATTAAAATCTCAACACTTGACCGCTGTATCAAGACGCATCAACCGTGATATGCAGCTTATATTAAATATGCAACATTGCAATAACGTATATATGTATATGTATATTGTATATATTTGAAGACGTGYTTAAATAATGGAAGGAAAAAAATTCAATATGAATTTAAATATAGCACAAAATCTGACATATGATTGTATTTTCTATATAATATAATATGTGTGATAGATCATGTAATATAATATACACGTACTTGTTATATACATTTATTGATATTCGATATTTTCCCCCTGTAATGCAGTAATTCCCCATTTCCATGTAGGTATAAAATAATTATTCATTGCAACTAAGTCAATTAAAATCTATCAAATAACAATTCTTATTAATGCAAGTAGTTAAGTTGTAATAATTGTACACACTTTAAGTAGTACAATATTTATTGATTTATTTGTTGATTAATTGATATTTTATGAAAATAACTTCTTTAGTCTATAATTATAAAACTAACATTATATTAGTAGAATGTAGATACATATAAATAGTGCAAATAATAGATACTTAATTCATTGTTTCATACATTTTTCAAAATTTATATTGTATGTATATCAAAAAAAAAATTGTTTGTAATAAATTGTTAAATAATTTTAATTTTAAAACCTTACTTTTTATACTGAATTCTGATTTAACTTACGAATGTTGCTGGAAGCTTGACAAAAGTAATATCTAAAATACCTGAATTAAAAAAAAAAAGTAAAATTTAAATCAATGAATAAATACATTAGTAGAATAAACACCACTTACTATTAATAAAATAGATAATTTTATCAACTATTATAATATATTAGGTAGGCACTAATAAAATTACTAATATTAAAAAAAAAAAAAAATGATTAAAATTGCTTTGATGAATACCATGTGCTGATTGTGCTGATCGTAACTCGCCATTGAGAAGGTACTTGAATTGAAAATGTGCTAAATTTGAATTCATTTGTTAAATCATTGTAAACAAAAAACGACTTTTGAACGGTTTCGAACTAATTTTAGAGGACTTTTTCTGACTACTAAGTTCCAGTAATGCTAAAATTGTAGGTATGGGGGCTCTCCACAGTCCAACCCGCAGGATTATTTATAAATTATAATAGATATAAATATATATAGACATTTATTAATATATAACATATATTATTATAAAATTTAGGCCTCTCAATAATAACCCATGTAATTATTCAATCCTAGTTGCGTTCATGTAAATCCCTACTCCTAAATCTGGCATTGAGTATATTATATGTGTGCCAAAAGCAACTTTCCATTTTTTTTTTTTAGCTCATTAAAATATTAAATTGGTTTTATGTATTATATAATWTCCAACCCCACATGACATAGGTTATGTTAGGTCATATTATGACAGGGCCAGCGTTAGGGGTGGGCGACCTGGGCGCTTGTTGAAAGGGGGCGCCTCAATGATATAATGTTAAAACTTATAACAATCAAGGTTTAGAATCTTCTAAATAATCTTTTTTAAATATGATTTGTTGGCGTAAGTAAAGAAACCATAAAATCATGGCACTTGAATTTTTAATTTAAAATAAAACTACTATTTATATGAGGAGGGGCGCATATTTGTTTACTCGCCCAGGGCRCCAATGACTCTACTGCCGGCACTATATTATGACGAAGAAAAAGTTTCCAGGGGGTTTAAAAAAATTGGTCTGGTTATATGTTAGCACCCTGCATGATGCATGAGCGTAGTTTGGTATAATTATCTGTGAGGGCTATGTAGCCATGTAGGACTAGAAAAATGTATTCTAAAAACGCATTATGCATTTATGCTTAACTTGAAATAAATGGGAAGAGATCATTTTTGAGAAAAAATAATTTATACATATTTAACTCCTTCTTGACCTGACATTTTATTTCATATTACATAAAAGATAATTAAAATTTTTGAACTTTAAGTAAACATGTTTATGAATTTATGATAAACTAAATAGGTAGATATAATATCACTAATATGTATCTATGTATAAATGCAATAATCGCCAATAAACATTACATTGATAATATATTTGGAGTCTTGATGAATTTTAGGGAATGTTACAAAAACAATTAAATCTATAACTTCGGATAAAATATTCTAAAGAAAGTTAACACAGTGAGAGGGCTACAAAAGTTTCTGTGGAGTCTATATCATATATACATATCATGCATACTACGCCCATACCCTTTTTTAAAAACACAGATGTTGACATTGAGTAAAAGAAAGTAATTTTAAGATATGAGACCAGACTTAATATAATATTATAACAGTMTATGGTTGCGGATCTCTATTCATATATCCACATACCACCTTACAGATTGAAAATGTTCATTTAGTTATAACTTGACCAAATGTATCCCTTGATTTTGCTTATGAAAAATGTTTACGTTATTTTACATGTAAGGGATTATATTTTATTAGTAATTACAAAATTAAACATAACCGCAGCTCACGTTTCATCACTATACCCAATACATTTTTAGTAATTTAATAATAATTAATAAGTGAACAGAAAATCATCCTAGACAAAATGCAATCTGACATTCTGACGTTATTGTACATAATTAATGTTTTGTACGTTATTATATTGTTTGACGTTTGTGAATTGAGTTCAACACATTTTAAAACATTTGATATCTTTAATTCTTAGCTTGTTAATTTATTGAGAACCTTTTTTCCTGCAGTTCTTGGCTATATAGTGGCTACATATTTTTAATTTAACACTTATAACACTAATATGCAGCTAGCAGCACTCTAATCGCTGACTACCCCTGTCACAGCCTATAGTAATAGGCATAATAGATTCATCCGCCCATAAGGCCATATTATATAATGGACTATTTTGGTATAATAGTTCTGTCTTCTATGGTTCTATTGAAATAAAATTAGAAGTCCACGAATTTTATACAGTGTGGACTGTGGTTATWTGTTTCTACTGGCTACTTATAATAAGTAATAAATATAAATACAGATTTCACAGAATATACACAACCATGATTACYGATTGGGTGGTATTAATTTACATGACTAAAGACTAAATAGATCTATTTAGTCATGTTAAATTATTATAGTGGCGTTTAATAATATTTTGTATGATTTAGCGTTTTAGACATTTTACTATTTTAGTACATATTGTTATTAGGACTATTCGTGATTATATCGTGTGACGATCTTACAATAAAAACTGTAATACCCCTAAACGGTACAAGTGTCGTATACCCGTAAACAAAGCGAAGCGTAGTATTACTAGTATTTACCATTTAGTATTATGACAAATTGACAACTTGCTTTACTGTTGACTTCAGGAACAGACTAACAGAGTTCAGACACTGTTGTTGTCTGTTACAGAAATACTGAATAAATGATTACACTTTAGTAGTTAAGTACAACTACAGATATACAGGTTTACCGTACACACGTAAATACGAATAAGTTCACAGGTACCATAAATTGATGTAGGATTTTTATTAATCTGTTTAGATTTGTATGTAATTTGTAATATATTTGTTATTTTAATTAGTTGTTAATGGTGTCGATGACTTTAYACCAACAGTGTATGAAACGGAATATATTTGTATGTGACTAGAAACTTGGAATTGATCAGTTGGGTAAATATTTTATTGTTCCTTATGTAGCATTTTTAGCGCGAAATTTAATTTTAGATAAGTATTTAAAATTCTATTAATTTCTGTAATACATATAGTGTAAATCTTTACTGTTAGTTTACATTTTGAACATTATTTTAGTATCTTACATGAATGGTTAATGGTTATTATTTATTAGTGAAGTACATAATATTACATCTACCTATTTAACTATAGTAATTCTAGTGATTCTGACATCTAATAAATCTAAAATTGTATTTTACTAGAGTAATTTTTACATAGGCATCTTTATATAATACACAATTAATAATAATTCTTTTTAATTCCACATACCTATATTGTTTATAACATAATAAGATARGTACACTTWATAATTGTATTTATTGCCATTAGAATTTAGTGTAACCTACTTGTAAATTAAAATGTAAGCCTCGATTAATGATACTRGATAATAATAATAATAATGATAAGGTTATTAATTAATATTTTTTCTTCACATAGGTAGGTAATTGCAAAATACAATTATTATACAGTACATGTTTTACTACTGTTTAGTTTTTAGTATTATTGATTATTTAATAGTRCGACTAGTACGAGTGAAAAGCCAATAGAGAAAGAAATACCTCATAATGACTGTTGTTACTTTACCGACTCAGTGATTAAAATGATTAAATAACTTACAATTGTTWTTGTGATCAAACAATTTTAACCTCTTTATGTGGATCATTAATATCATTTATTTCTACTTACAAGTCTTCTTTTCAATCAGAGTCTATCTATATAAATATATTACATTTAATTTATACTATTATGTTTTTATTATTACAAATACATGAAAAATACAATTTTGTAGAAGAAAAACAATAAGTTAATAATGTAACATTTTTACAATCTATTATTAATATTCTACAGATAAAAAAGTAAAGATGCATCGAAGTATAGGTAAGCGAATTCGCATGGATGATCCTCCTCCAATGGAGTATGATGTTCCATCTACACCTGGGAGTTCTATTCATCCAAGCCCTATGACACCTAGTCGATCAGATTATCAAGAACATTACAACCCTTATGCAAATTATCATAACTTTCAAACACCAAGGTAAAAAAACAATGAAAAAAAAAAWTCATTTAATTATGATGCTGGCTACTTTCTAGATCTGAAGTATTCAACATGGACCATTATC